TATATTTTTTTAAAATTCTTGCATTTATAATAACTAGAACACTATATCCGAAATGAAAAATATAAAATTTAATTAATATTTTTAAATTATCAAGGACATCGTCAACATAAAAAAAATAAAAATAAATAATATTATAAATTATTACCATCAAATTAATAAATTTTAGTACTCAGTCACACCTAATTTGTCCATTTTTTCTATTTATGTTTGTCCCACATAATTTGTCAATTTCCTTTTTAAAAATATAATTATACACTTTAATTATATTTTAAAATTATAAATTTATAATTTTTTTTAATTTTAATTAAAAACAATTTAATCATTTAATTGTTAATCTATAATTATTTTTATTAATATATTTTTTAATTATTTATTAATTACCCAATGTATAAAATTATATCTCTAACTTAAAATGGACAATTTAAGTGAGAAGGGAGGAATACTATATTAAATACTTGTCTTACAAATCAAAGGCCTCCATACCCATAGGACAAGATTGAAATTGGTTATATTATTTTTTGTAGTTAAATTTATATACAATTTATTTATAATAAATATTTTATTTAATTATAATTTTATTATTTTTATTTAAAAAATAATAATCAATTTTCAATTATCTTTTATATTTATAACATATTTTTTTATCAATTTCTTTTTAAAAATACTTCGACTTTACTTTATAAATATTTATTTTTATATTAAAATATTATTATTATTATTAAATTTTGTGGTCAAGCAAACTAACATAATTAGTTTGGACGAAAAAAAAAAAAAAAAAAACTCCATCAGTGATCTCAGTGACGAAATTAGCGTCTAAATTTTAGGGGACAAAATATTATAATTTATTTAATATTTAACTAATAAATTTAAATAAAAAATAATGCCAGAATTATATATAAATTTAGATAATTTCGAAGGGTAAATTGTATATAAATATATAAAAATTAATATTTTTAACACTTAAAAAATTATAAAAAATTGGATTTGGGAGGTCAATTGCCCCCGAACCCTAGTGTAGTTCCGTCCCTAAGTGATCTGTCTCACATTAGTAATTCAATTTTCTGCCGACAGGACAAATATGAACAAAAATATAATTAATAAATAATTTAAAATAATATTAATAAAAATAATTATTTATATAATATACAAATTATAGATTATAAAATTTAAAATTTTATTAAAATATATAAATAACTTTTCAAAAATAAGCAACCATATTGTAAGTGTGTTTTTTTTGTATTTTTATTTAAAATATAAAAATTGTATAGATAATATAAAATAATAACTATATATAATATTTATTTTTTACGAAGGTTTAGGAATATTAGTATTATATTAGGGTGTTATATGAATAAGATATAAAAAAATTAAAATAATCTTATTAGTATTGTTTGACATAAAGGTAATGACATTTGTGTAATACTATGTCTGTATGCTCTAAGAATCTCATTTATTTTTTGTGTGTTGATATTTAAATATTAATTATCATATCAAAACGTAGTACACATTAAGAAAAACTTACAAAAATACTTTCATTAAATCTTATAATATTAATAGAAAGATATTTGTACAAAAAAAAAATACAAATATAAAGATATTTTTAACATTAAGTACAATGACGTAAAAAAAGTAAATGTGACCGTTAGAGGCGGATAGAAAAATATATTTTAAATTGTAAGAATATATTTAATGTTAATAGAAAATTATGGAAAAAATCAAAATAATAAAAATGAATAAATGATTAAAGGACGGAGAAATATGATCCCTCCGTCCCAAAAGTATTGTGTTGGGTACGGGATTTAAGGAATATTGATATTATATTGATAGTTGGTAAAAATATGAGTAAAAGACTTTTTTGCCCTTGTGAGTGTATTAGTGTAAAAAGTAGTGGCAATTGTGTAATAATAATGAAAAAGTAAGGATATTTTTATAGTGATATTGTTATTTATGAAAATAAGACTATTATTTTGGAATGGACAAAAATGATAAATAAGACTACTGTATTAAGATAGTAGGAGTATATGTTAAGATTTATTTTACTAATTATAGATTAAGCAGTTATTTCGTCCGTCTATTCAGTAATACTTTAGTAGTGTTGTGTCAGTTTCAATTCGTGGAGTAATAGACTCCTGCTTTCTTGCTTTTCAGTTGCTTTTTGTATGCCAGTATTTAGCCAAATTTCCTCTCCAGGTTTGGTATTGAATGAACCAAATTTTTCATTGTTTGTTTTATTCAACATATGGTATCAGAGCCTAGCGGGATCCGATTATTTTAGAAAGCAGCAGCTCTCTATGTGATAGATTAAAATTGCAAGTGAAACTTCATTTGTTCAACCATTCGTTCCCAAATTTGATGGACACTATGATCATTGGGCAATGCTCATGGAAAATTTTCTATGATCAAAAGAATATTGGATTGTAGTGGAGAAAGGGATATCTGCAGCAGCAGAAGGCAACTCAACAGATGCTCAAAGGAAACAAGTTGAGGATCTGACTCTTAAAGATTTGAAGGCGAAGAACTATCTATTTCAAGCATTATATCGTTCGATCCTTGAGACGATCCTCAATAAGGATACATCAAAGGCCATATGGGATTCTATGAAGCAGAAATTTCAAGGAGCAACAAAAATGAAGCACACACACTTACAAGCACTGCGAAGGGAGTACGAGGTCCTTGAAATGAAGATAGGTGAACCTGTAAATGAGTATTTTGCTCGAACTCTCACCATAGTCAACAAAATGAAAGCCAATGGTGATAACAAAAGCACTGATGATATTGTCTAAAAAATTCTGAGATCAATGACCTCTAAATTTAACTATGTTGTGTGCTCCATTGAAGAATCAAAAGACATAAGCATTTTGATTATTGATGAATTGCAGAGTAGTTTACTTGTGCATGAACAGCGTATCAACATGAGTTCTTTAGCAGAAGAAGCTCAAGCCTTAAAGATCACATCAGGGGAGCAATCTAACAGCAGAGGTCGAGGCCGAGGAAGTTATAGAGTAAGAGGAAGGGGAAGCAATAGGCAAAATTTTGATAAATCCATTATTGAATGCTACAAATGTCACAAGTTAGGACACTTTCAGTGGGAATGTTCTAGTAAGGAAACAAATTTTACAGAAGTTGAAAGAAGATGCTTGGTTTCTTAACCCAGGATGCAACAATCACATGTGTGAGAAGAAAGGACATTTCATTGAGCTTGATAAAAGTTTTGAAAACAAGGTCAAGCTAGGCAACAACACCAGCTTGGCTGTAATTGGAAAAGACAATGTAAGATTGGAAGTGGCAGGCATGGTGCAGGTCATTACAGAAGTATTCTTCGTACCAGATTTGAAGAATAATTTGTTGAGTATTGGGCAGTTGCAGGAGAATGGACTAGCCATCTTGTTTCAACATGACAGATGCAAAGTATATCATTTTGAGAAATGACTGATCATGAATACAAAGATGACTGTGAATCGAATGTTCAAGCTAAATGCTGTAACAGTACCACCTACTTGTTTCAGCACTATAACAGAAGAAAATGTTCAGCTTTGGCATTGTAGATATGGACATTTGAATTATAAAGGTCTCAAGACACTTCACCATAAGAAAATGGTAAACGGTTTACTGGAACTAAAATCCCCATCAAAGTTGTGCATAGATTGTATGGTAGGAAAGCAACAAAGAACACCATTTCCAAATAAAATTTCTTGGAGAGCGACCCAAGTCCTTCAGTTGATCCATGCTGATATTTGTGGACCAATCAAACCCGCGTCAAACAGTGGAAAGGGGTACATGATTACTTTCATTGATGACTATAGTCGAAAAGTTTGGGTTTATTTCTTAAAGGAAAAATTGGAAGCTCTTATGATCTTCCAAACCTTTAAAGTTCATGTTGAAAAGGAATCAAATTCAGTCATCAAGTGTTTGCGAACTGATCGATAAGGAGAATTTACATCACAAAAATTCACCAAATTTTGTGATGACAATGGTATTCAACGGCAATTGACAGCTTCATATACTCCACAACAAAACGGAGTGGCAGAACGCAAGAATATAACCATTATGAATATGGTACGCATTATGCTTTATGCAAAGAAGGTACCCAAAAGTTTTTGGCTTGAAGCAGTTAATTGGACAATACATGTTCTGAATCGTAGTCTGACACTTGCCGTTAAAGATCAGACTCCGGAATAAGCATGAAGTGGCACAAAACCCTCAGTTGAGTACTTTCGTGTTTTTGGTTGTATTTCACATGTTCATGTTTTTTATCATAACAGGACAAAAAATTAGATGATAAAAGCAGGAAGTGTGTTCTGTTGGGGGTTAGCGAGGCGTCAAAGGCATATCGACTATTTGATCCAAATTCAAACAAAATCATCATAAGTAGAGATGTTTTCTTCGAGGAAGATGAAGCTTGGGATTGGAATCAAAAACATGAAAACTCCATTGTATGTGATTTGGAATGGAAAGATCAGAAAATGGCTGGCACGGATGAAAATGAAGATGAGGATGATACTGAAGATGAAGGTGCTGCCGAACAAGATGCAAATATAGAACAGTCTGAACAAGATGCAGATGTAGCAAATTCTTCGTTGGATTCTCCATCTAGAAATGTTGTCTCTGGTGTAGATGATAAAAGAACGAGGGCACCACCAGTCTGGATGAGAGATTATGAAACTAGAGAATGGCTTTCTGAAGAAGATAATGAAGCCTTTTTGGCCATGTCTATTACTCATGATCCTATTCAGTTTGAAGAAGCTATTAAGAGTGACAAATGGAGAAAAGTAATGGATGCAGAAATGGAAGCGATTGAGAAAAATAATACATGGGAGTTAACAAAACTACCAAATGGAGTGAAAAAGGTCGGGGTAAAATGGGTTTACAAGACCAAGTTCAATGAGCTTGGAGAGGTGGATAAATACAAAGCTCGATTAGTAGTGAAGGGGTATTCATAACAGTACGGAGTAGATTATACCGAGGTATTTGCACCAGTTGCTCGTATGGAAATAATTCGGATGGTTGTGGCATTTGCAGCTCAAAGAGGATGGACTATCTACCAACTAGATGTGAAATCTGCATTTTTGAATGGTGAATTGACTGAGATTGTTTTTGTGGAGCAGCCAAGTGGCTATGTCCAAAAAGGAAATAGGGAAAGGTTTATCAATTGAAAAAGGCACTTTACTGGCTTAAACAAGCTCCACGTGCTTGGTACACTCGAATAGATGCTCACTTTTTGAAGGTAGGTTTTGAGAAATGTGATCATGAGCATACATTGTATGTCAAAAGACAAGGGAAGAACATGGTAATTGTCAGTTTATATGTCGACGATCTTATTGTTTCTGGAAATGATGAGCTGATGATAATTGAGTTCAGAGAATCCATGAAACATGAATTCGGCATGACAGATCTCGGGAAGATGAGATATTTTCTAGGTCTTGAAGTCTTACAACGACCAGATGGTATTTTTATAAATCAAAGCAAGTATGCATCCGAGTTGTTGAGACGATTTGGAATGGATAAAAGCAACTATGTTCATAATCCAATGGCTCTTGGGGTTAAGCTGAACAAGGATGAAGATGGTGTCAAGGTGGATAAGACTTACTACAAGCAACTTGTAGGCAGTCTAATGTATCTCACTGCAACGCGACCGGACATGATGTTTGTGGTAAGCCTTGCTAGTAGATATATGGAAAATCCCACTGAGTTGCATTTGAAGGTGGTAAAACGAGCTTTGAGATATTTGAAGGGAACTAGTGGTTTTGGGATCTTCTACAAAAGGGAAGACGATGATGGACTTATTGCTTACACAGACAGTGATTATGCTGGAAATGTAGAAGATAGAAAAAGCACATCAGGTTATGTGTTTCTATTAAGCTCGGGAGCAATTTCATGGTCTTCTAATAAGCAACCAGTCGTAAGTTTGTCCACCACGGAATCTGAGTTTATTGCCGCAGCATCGTGTGCGTGTCAAGCAATGTGATTGAGCAGGGTGTTAGCAAAATTGGATCAAAAGTACGAGAAATTGGTCATTGTTTCTTGTGATAATAGCTCAACTATTAAACTTTCGAAGAATCCAGTAATGCATGGTCACAGTAAGTATATTGATGTACGTTTTCATTTTCTTCGAAAGCTCACAAAGACATGTAGTGTTGAATTGGTGCATTGTGATTCAAATGATCAACTAGCTGATGTCAGTTTCAATTTATGGAGTAATAGACTCCTTCTTTCTTGCTTTTTAGTTTTTTTTTTTTTTTTTTTATGGTAATATTTAGCCAAATTTTCTCTCCAGGTTTTGTATTGAATGAACCAGATTTTTCATCAGTATAGCCTTTTTTTTAATTTTGTCTGAAACCGCTGGTCTCTCATCCATACCTATAGTTTAATTCTTATTGTGGGTCCTGGGAGTTGCAGCTTCATATCTGTTTCAAACGAATAACCCCCAACTAGACACGACGTCGTTTTCTTTTTAGCCCGACTCTACGCGTCAGAACCTATCTCTGCAAATAATAAATGAGCATGACCCTTTCCCCCTTTCCTTTGTTTTTTTCTTTTTTAATAAATCCGTGTCTCTCTCTGTACATGTATTAATATATACTTGAGCCTTTTTAGGTTTTGGTTGTTATGTATGGAAGGCGACCAACCGTTAACTCCGGCGGGTCGCCTCTTCGTGCAGCCGCTAACCAACCAAATCATCCACTGCGCCATCGCCGTCGAGCTACCTATCGACGTCGACGCCGTCAAAGCGGAGCTCCGGAGCTCAGTGATGCTGAAGCACCCCAGATTTTGCAGTCTCATGGTGCGCGACGCCGCCTGCGGCCGCGAGCACTGGCGGAGGACGGCCGTCGACTTAGAGCGCCACCTCCTGGTCCGGCGGCAACCCCTGTCGGAGGATCCTTCCGTCTCCGACGAGGACGCCGTGAACGATTTCATCGCCGATCTGTCGGTGTCGTCGCCGCTCCCCACGGATAAACCCCTTTGGGAGATTCACCTGCTCCTGGCGCACAACACCGCGGTCTTTCGTGTCCACCACGCGCTCGGGGACGGGATTTCGTTGATGTCTATGCTCCTGTCGTGTTGCAGGAAAGCCGACGACAGGTCGCAGACGCCGACCATCGGCGGCGTCGGTGCCTCCTCCTCCTCCTCCTCCTCGGCGGCGCTAAGGAGAAGCAGATGGAGTTTTTGGACATTTGTCAAGGTAGTTTGGTATACTTTGGTTCACTTTCTGGAGTTTTCCATGAGGGCGCTGTGGCTGAAGGATAAGCCCACCGCCTTGAGCGGCGGGGCCGCCGTGGAGCTCTGGCCGCGGAAATTGGCTTCGGCGCGGTTCCGCCTGGAGGACATGAAGCTCGTGAAACGATCCGTCGCCGGCGCGGTGAGCATTTCCTGACCTAACCTAACCTGACCCGATCGTTGGGAGGGAGGGAGGGATGTCTTATTCGAATTGACCCACCCACTCCACCGTAGAATTAACGCTTCTAAAACTCCAACTCCCAACAAATATAATCAATGCACAATTAATTTTTATCTTAATTTTTTTATAATAATAATAAGATTAAATTGCACAAAATTGGTAAGTGATTTTACAAAATTGTGAAAATCTTTCCTATTTTTAAAATTACATCCAATTTTCTAGTTAGGGTGTGTTTGTTTGAAGGATTTTGGAGGATTTTTACTATTCATCCAATTTTTTCCCCCCAAAAATATCAAATCAAACACCTATTTTTCATTTTTTATATTATACTAAAAATCAATTTTACATTCAAAATATCACATCAAACCCTATTTATATCACATCATACAACTATTCAAATTCAAAATTTTTACTATTCAAATCCCAATCCAAAATCCAAACCCCCAAACAAACACACCCTTAAATTTTATAAACTCTAGCCTAGCCTTATCAGTTTTTACATCCTTATTTATCAATTTTTTATTTACACACACTCAATCTGATTATGAATTTCAAAATATTTATTTTTAAATTCCTAAAAGTATAAATATATTTATTTATTTTATTTTATATTTAGCTTTAAAGAATAGTGAAAAAAGACTTCTAAAATCGTATAAAAATAATTATTTTTAGTATATTTATTATTTGTTGAAATTAAATAATACTCCATCCGTCTCATAACTAGGTATATGTTTGTTTTTTCAGAGAGTTTTAGAAATATTAGTATTATATAATGATTTAGTAGAAATAAAATAGAAATTATTAAAATAATCTTATTAGTATGGTGTGATACAAATGTAATAATATTTGTGTAATATATTGTAAATTGTAATGTATTTGTAATGTTAACTAGATAATACAATTATTAGAAAAAAGTAAATAAATATTTTGTTATGTGACAGATTAAAATGAAAAAATTCGATAATTTGTTATAGGACGGAAGAAGTAAGAATCCCGGCTATATTTGTAATTTGAGTTTAAAATCAGATTAAACAATATTAAACAAAGAGGGCTGAAGGAATTAGATGCAGAGTTTTACGAAACTACAAAAAAATTCGAAGCAATTTTAAAAATATAGAAAATTTCGTGTCATTCTATAAAATTAATTTTGAATTTTGTGCAATTTAACATAATAATAATAATAATAATAATAATAATAATATCTTTGAGCGTGTGGCGTGGGCTTTCGTGTGTCTGTGTCTGGATATGTACTGATCACATGATTCTGAATAAACTAACAGACCATAAATGATGTTCTTTTTGGTATAATAGCGTGTGGGCTGTCGAGATACTTGGACAGGACAAATCCAAAAGGTAAATGCATGTACGTACATATACTACTACTACTACTAGGTTATTAATAATCAATTCATTTATTACATGGATATGGTGTGGTAGGGGTGGGGCAGCTGCCTGAGGGGCTTCAGCTGACCGGGCTTGCGATGATCAACTTGAGACCCGAAGCGGGATTACAGGACGTGGCGGAACTGATGAATAGGACTTCGGGCAGCCGATGGGGAAACAAGTTCGGTATGCTTCTGCTGCCCGTGTACTACTACCATGACAATTCGGATCCCATGGGGTTTGTGCGGAGGGGCAAGGCTATGATAGACAAGAAAAAGCTCTCTTTTGAGGCACCCCTCTCTTACTACATCGGCTTCTTAATCATGTCCATTTTCGGCCCCAAGGTATCCAAACCAAACCACTCAATCATCCAATTGAATTGAAATAAATTGAATTGAATCCGCGAGATAGATATATATGTGTATATATATATATATGAGATGGATGGATGGATGGATGGATGCAGGTTGCTAGCATTCTCAACTACAGAATCGTGTGCAACACGACGTTCACGGTGTCGAATGTGGTTGGGCCGCAAGAGGCGATCACCGTTGTGGACAATCCGGTCAAGTACCTTAGAGTGTCCTCCAGCAGCCTACCTCATGTATGTATGTATGTGTGTGTGTATTGTATGTTTCATATATTATTCTCCAAACCTAACTGATAAAACTACTATTACATTGCAGGCAATCACCATGCATATGGTAAGTTATGCAGGAATGGCGGAGATGCAAATCCTAGTGGCCAAGGATGTAATACCAGACCCCAAGCTTCTTGCCCATTGCTTCCAAGAAGCCTTGCTCGATATGAAACAACAGGCACAGGCACAGGCACAGGCACAAGCGTCGCCAGCAAATCCCTAGCTCGCTGCTTCTGTGCTTAGCTCCAACAATAATATTATTATTGGATATCTTCATTGCACTGAACTCTCTACGGAATCTGCCTATTTCCTTGGGTGGCTCATATATATATATATATATATATTTATTTTATGAGGTGTGAATCCGCAGCCGCTACCTGAAAGTGTGCAGTGGGTGGGTGGCTCATATCTTGATATTATTATTGGGTGTGTTTCTTTTAAGGTAGTTTGAGAAGTATGAGTTTGAATTGAATTTGAATTTTAGGATGAGTTTGAATTTTTGTATTTTTTTAGGTTTATAGGTTTGGTTTGAGTTTGAGGGATTATAAGTATATTTGATAGGTAATGATTGTGTTGGTTTAAAAAAGTATTCCCTCAGTCCCAGATACTATGTCTACGTTGCCGTTTTTGTTCGTCCCAGATACCATGTCCATGTTGCCGTTTCTGTTCGTCCCACATAGTCACTTTTCTTTTTTTTTTAAAATGATTACACACTTTAATCTCATTTTAAATTTTTAATTTTTTTTTAATTTTAATTAAACTAATTAGTTATTTTAATCTTAATTTATAATATTTATATTATAAGATAATTATTTTCACTAATATATTCTTACTTATCTACTAATTACACTCCTCCTAAAATACCGTGTCTACGGTGTAGCAGACACGGTATTTGGAACGGAGGGAGTATTATTTTATTATTATTATTATATAAGTAGTGTTGTTGGTGCTGTATATATGCAATATGATATCATTTTGTACAGATAATAAAATTTTATATAATACAAATAACTAATAAATATATATATTTATTTATAATTAACTTAAAATTAATTTAAATAAAAAATGAGAAATTTTAAATATAAATAAAAATATTTATTTATTGAGGAAAGATATAAATAAAAAGTTTTGAACTAGTCTTATGTGTAAGAAGTTAAAATTATAATTAAATTAATTTATATTTGTTAAGTATGCTTAATATAAATAAATTTACTAAAAATAAAAACTTGTCATCATTTTTTTATGAGACGACGAAAAAAAGAAAATTAAAAAAAAGGACGGAAGGAGTATGAGTCGTGTCTATTATTTATATTTTCGTTCGTTTTATATAATTTATTTATTTTTTTAAAATACAATTATACACGTATTTTAAAATTCATAATTCATAATTTTTTATTTTAATGGCAAGTAGGCATGATTTTAAGGGTGGTTAATTAACATTGCATATTATTTCTCCGGTGCAAAACCTCGAAACCAGACAAAGGAAACAAACCCATTGTTTTCATGTACTTTTATTTTAATGCGATTTCTTTTATAATTCATCCCAAGAATTTTAGGTTATGTTTCTTTTAAGTTTGGTTATGATCTGACACTATTTATCAAATGACTTTTTTTTTTTTTTTTTACAAAATTAATTATCAAATTAAATATTTATTTTTAATTTAATATATTCATGTTAGACGAGAAATCTAATATAAAACAGTATACTTCGGATAAAAAAACTCGAATTTGGTTTTTATAGCTTGAGAAAGAAAATATCTAAGCTATTAAAGAATGCAAAATATAAAAAACAAAAAAAAAAAATTAGGACATTGATCTCAATAAATTTTTCAAAAACTTTATTTGTGATTAAAGATGTCATAATTTATTGTTCTCTCGCATTTAAAGACACCTAATAGGGTGGTTGAAAATTGGTTATTTGATTCCAGGGGTTGGTTACTTGGCAGTTTTATTAAGTTAAAAACGTCTAAAACTGTCCGCTCAGGATTGGTCTTCCAAGACCGATATCATATTTGTTGTTTAGTTAAGCAAAAGTCTAATCAACACTTGTCAACATCCGCTTGAATCGCAATAAGTATTTTGGTGGCTGTTGGCGAATTTTGCGTAAAGTCGAGGGCTGAATTTTTATATGTAACAACTTGTTCCCCTTTTTTGCAATTCCAAACAACTAAGCCCTACATAACACGTAGAGAATGAGTGGTAACCTTTGGATGAGTCTGTTGAAATTGAGATTGGTTTTCGAGATCTACAAAAGTAATGATGATAACCGCCACCAATTCCTTTTCAAATTGAAAACCTTGTCTTGAAGATTCTCTTTTGTGCTCACGACACTTCCTTAATTCAGAAAAAATTCTTGCGAAAAAAATCCTTCTTTCAAATTACTTTCCGTGTGATGACAACAATAAGAGAATTTGCTCCGGCGTTGCCCATTGATGTCTCATCCCTAGTTCCGGGCCTTTTAGCTTTGAAGCAGTATACTCCTGCCATGCATCCTTATTTTAAATAAGCTAGCGAGACTGTTGGGGCGGAGGCCATGTTCTTTGAGGGCCGAAACCTAGTTCGAAATTCTTTGATTTCAATGCCGACCATCTATCCAATGGCATGAAGACATTCCCGTCAACCATTTTTTTATTACCGGAGATGGTATTAGAGAGTTGCTGGCCGGTTCGAGAAACAGTGGGAGAACCAAAGGATCGATAGGGTGATCATCTTCTTCACATATGCCTTTCACATCCAAAAAGGCATTCTGACTTCGATGCAACATTTTGGGATTCTGTTTATAACATATTTATGTTGCCCGTTGGTCCAATTGCTCCAATCCTCTTCGATGTGGCATGTTGATGTTTTTATCTTTATTTTAATTTCGAAATATTAAAAGATAATAAATACTTCGATGTCATATCCATATGCCCATACAACTATTATATATACTCATACTTCTTCCCGCTCTACTTAACATGTTCTATATATATACTTGTGTATGCTTATTATATACTTTTGAAAAAAAATAATAAATAAATAAATAGTAGTTACAAAATTACAAACATGATTTGATAGTGGGGTGGGAGAAAACCAACACCCACAACTCTCAATTGCAAACAAAATTCTACCAAACTTTTACAACTCTCACTCGCAGCCGATTGTTCTCATTTTCACTCATTGTCCGACAAACTGAAAAAACATGGAGAAAAGGAAGCTAGAAACGAGCCCATCACCCCGACGCATCGCGAATAAGTAAGTTTTTTTTCGTTCTTCCTAAATTTTTATTTTATTCACAGTATTTTTACCTTAGATTGTGTGTTCGCTTGCGGTTTAAATCTTGACCGCAATGTGGTATCTCTTCGTTTGTCATAAAGAAACTCTCGTTTTCCAGAATATGTGCTTGGACATAGTTGTGTGTTTAGAGTTTAACACTATATTTTTAAGAGGTTCTACGGGACGATGAATTTGATTTGACTGCGATTGTTTAATTTTTACATGTTGGTTGGTTGTTTTAAGATTATTAATCACGTTTAGGGGTCGAAATTTGAATTACAAGTTAAATCGTCTGAGAATCAGTTATGATATTTTTATGTACCCACAATTGCATCTTTTAAACCTAACATGCTATGTAATATACTTATGGGGGTTATATATGTACCTGAGTTGTGTTTTGATGTAGTCTCCTGTATACTTGGTAAACCTGTAAGGTATTTTGAGATGCCCTATTACGGACTGATATTTATTTTTTTACAGAATGGGAAATGAGTATAAATATGTGGTTAGCCGGTTTGTCATTTCTCACTTTTATATTGAGGTGGAGAATTTGAAGAAGAAAATGTCAAATTCTCATATTAAGGAAATAAAACAAACTCCGTTTGAACACTTTCTCGATTGTCCAAAAATAAGATTCGCGTTGCATCATACTAGCTTTGGTCAATAGTTATCATCCGGACAACATAGACATTACTATGCATGGTGAGCAGCATGTCACTGATATTTGTTGGGAGTGGAGTGAATGAGAAGAACAAAGTAGTTTTATGTTGTTTATGGTTATTATCTAGCATGTTATGATTGATCATGTTCACAGTTTTTATTGTGCAATTCTACTTTTGGACATTACCATATATTAGGCCGATGAACCACGAATACTTCCAATGACAACACGTATACCAGTTTAAGACTATTACATATACCATCGCTAATAGAGGGAGTGCTCCCATAGAGTGCCTTAATTGCCTCCATCATCGAAGGGTTGACTGATAGCAACCATATTGAAGGATATTTGCAACTATACATATAACACTTATGCATTCATTATTGATGCTTAAACACCTATTAGTTTTGCATACATTACAATGTAATAGACTGTTTGCCCATGAATACTTTCAGTAACAACATGTGTACTAACTTAACATTCATGCATATACCTTCGCTAATAGTGGAAGTACTCACGATGTGATCCAAGGAACCTTGTTGCCTTACACGTAGTTGTAACCGCCAATCAACACAAGATTGTAATACCCCCAGAGCTGTTATTACGTACTTGTAATATAATTTCATATACTCCAGTAATGTGTATCTACACCTTGGTTATATGTGGTTCAGAAATAAGCTATTCTCGATTCAAAATTTTTAATTGATATTGGTAAGCAGGGATGAAATAATCACGATTACTTTCCTGTGACACCCAAAAGTGTATGGAACGGTAACTAACCCATGTTTACTATAGATTCTTAAATAAATCATGAGTGACTAGGGTAAGTTATGTTGATTTTACTCATACATCATTACTCTCATGGATTGATTGGTTATTTAGGCCTATTACCAAGCAATACACACTGTAACACAAAACACAATCTTCTGTCCACCAGAGTTGAGAGAGGAAGTGCTCTCACCAAGTTCGCACATTGGACCTTGTGCGTAGGATTGACTGAAATACACTACATTCGAGGATACCCGGTACTAAAAATCTAATGCTTATGAAATTATTATCTATACCTCCTATATCGAGGTTTGTACTCGGATCACATGGTTAATGATAACTCTAAATAATATATTTTTTTCTTGAAAAAATCGTGTATTAGCTGATTTTTTATGTGAAAACCATCAATATATCTGATTTATGGCATACTTTATTGAACTATTATGTTTGGTATGATCCAGAGCGCGTTTGTTGAGATTATTAACATTTTTGGCCTATTCGAGCAATGTTCTGGTCCAGAAAAGCTAGGTATTGAAAGTCAAGCGATGACATTTCCACTCGGCAAAGGACGCTCTTTTCGCTCGAGCTAGCACCAGCAACCAAACATCCACCGTAGCTAAGCGAGAGTGAACCACTTCAAAAAAATTCACTAAGTGTTCATCTCTCAGCAGTTTATTTATTCCGATATAAGCCAACGATGACAGCTCTGCTTGAGTTGTGCTGATGCCCTCCAACCATCTGGGCAAGCGAGGAAGATCTAGGCCCTTACATTCCAAAGCAAGCGAAGCGACTACCCTAGGAGTTATGATCAGTACAACTGCTTTAACAGAATAACTGCCTCCAACTGCGTAACTGCTCAGCGGTTGGAGCCACTTCTCAAGAATTTTTAGTAAAAATTGGATTTTCGGTAACTGCTTGTAACTGCTGTCTTCTCTGATCTATAAATAGGGCCATAATTCTTTTTTTTTTCTAAAACACGCATAC